ATTTGGATTATTTGACATTAATCGTGACAATATCAAATTACCTTTATTTTCCACAATAGTTGGCTCTTGCTATGAGGATGATTCCTGGTTGCTATGAACGACGAGGAGAATCAACAAGAGGGCTAAAGAAGGGACTCCATTTTGATTTTTGGGTTGAAGAGGTTTAAAAATAAAAACTTCCACAAGTTTTTACACAAAATTCTATCTGCAGAAATGTTTTTATGCACCTTTAGTTAAGAAAAGCTGTTTGGAGCTTCTGACAACGTAAATCACGAAAGTTTGGTGATAACTAGGCGATGGAATCCAATTTTACACTACACAGTGAGGACAGGTATCACCAAAACTGTTTTATAAAATTTCCATGTCCATTGTATTGGATAACTACTAATTGAGTGTTTTTTATCGTAACAAACACAAGAACTATATTTGTCACTATTTCTTTTTCAACAAAGACTGAATTTTTCACCCTGTGTATATAAAAAACTTTTAACTCACTAATTTCATTTAATCTATAACACATATTTTTCTTCTATTTTAATAACAATTATTCTTGAATTCGTTTCTGTATTTTTCAATCATGTTTCTAGGTTATATTTGTATAATTTAATTTTTCAAGTCAGCTGACAAATAATCGATTACTGGCTGTGTTCAGAATCGGATCCATCGAATCTATCGATTCTACTCTGGACTATGCCACAAAAAGCAAAATTTACTATCAAAGATTCTGTTTTCATGCTATTTATAATATTATAAAAACACTTGTTGCCAAGATAAATAATTTAATTAAATAAAACATACCTTGTTATAATTTTCAAACCAGTGTTTTTACTAAATCTCTCGAACGAACCTACGGCGCCCAACAATCGATTTTTCCTGGTATTCAGATTATGGAATCCAATTGAACCCGAGATGTCTCATGCACCATTACAGGTAACAATTCCGAATACGAGGGGAAGGTAAAAATTACATCTTATTCAAAATAAACTAACAGTTCAAAAATTAATCATCATTTTTATTATTATTCATATAAAACACATCCCCGCAATATATATATATATATAATAGTTTGTCCTGACCGAATGACTGACTGACTAACTGACTGACTGACTGACTGACTGACTGACTGACTGACTGACTGACTGACTGACTGACTGACTGACTGACTGACTGACTGACTGACTGACTGACTGACTGACTGACTGACTGACTGACTGACTGACTGACTGACTGACTGACTGACTGACTGACTGACTGACTGACTGACTGACTGACTGACTGACTGACTGACTGACTGACTGACTGACTGACTGACTGACTGACTGACTGACTGACTGACTGACTGACTGACTGACTGACTGACTGACTGACTGACTGACTGACTGACTGACTGACTGACTGACTGACTGACTGACTGACTGACTGACTGACTGACTGACTGACTGACTGACTGACTGACTGACTGACTGACTGACTGACTGACTGACTGACTGACTGACTGACTGACTGACTGACTGACTGACTGACTGACTGACTGACTGACTGACTGACTGACTGACTGACTGACTGACTGACTGACTGACTGACTGACTGACTGACTGACTGACTGACTGACTGACTGACTGACTGACTGACTGACTGACTGACTGACTGACTGACTGACTGACTGACTGACTGACTGACTGACTGACTGACTGACTGACTGACTGACTGACTGACTGACTGACTGACTGACTGACTGACTGACTGACTGACTGACTGACTGACTGACTGACTGACTGACTGACTGACTGACTGACTGACTGACTGACTGACTGACTGACTGACTGACTGACTGACTGACTGACTGACTGACTGACTGACTGACTGACTGACTGACTGACTGACTGACTGACTGACTGACTGACTGACTGACTGACTGACTGACTGACTGACTGACTGACTGACTGACTGACTGACTGACTGACTGACTGACTGACTGACTGACTGACTGACTGACTGACTGACTGACTGACTGACTGACTGACTGACTGACTGACTGACTGACTGACTGACTGACTGACTGACTGACTGACTGACTGACTGACTGACTGACTGACTGACTGACTGACTGACTGACTGACTGACTGACTGACTGACTGACTGACTGACTGACTGACTGACTGACTGACTGACTGACTGACTGACTGACTGACTGACTGACTGACTGACTGACTGACTGACTGACTGACTGACTGACTGACTGACTGACTGACTGACTGACTGACTGACTGACTGACTGACTGACTGACTGACTGACTGACTGACTGACTGACTGACTGACTGACTGACTGACTGACTGACTGACTGACTGACTGACTGACTGACTGACTGACTGACTGACTGACTGACTGACTGACTGACTGACTGACTGACTGACTGACTGACTGACTGACTGACTGACTGACTGACTAATAAAAATTAATAAAAATTAATAAAAATTAATAAAAATTAATAAAAATTAATAAAAATTAATAAAAATTAATAAAAATTAATAAAAATTAATAAAAATTAATAAAAATTAATAAAAATTAATAAAAATTAATAAAAATTAATAAAAATTAATAAAAATTAATAAAAATTAATAAAAATTATTAAAAATTAATAAAAATTAATAAAAATTAATAAAAATTAATAAAAATTAATAAAAATTAATAAAAATTAATAAAAATTAATAAAAATTAATAAAAATTAATAAAAATTAATAAAAATTAATAAAAATTAATAAAAATTAATAAAAATTAATAAAAATTAATAAAAATTAATAAAAATTAATAAAAATTAATAAAAATTAATAAAAATTAATAAAAATTAATAAAAATTAATAAAAATTAATAAAAATTAATAAAAATTAATAAAAATTAATAAAAATTAATAAAAATTAATAAAAATTAATAAAAATAAATACAATAACTAAACTTAACTAAAAAATAATACTATACTAATATACACTCCGTCATTGTGAACGTGTTAATGACGCCACATTGAATTTATCTTAGACTAGGTAAATAAAGAGATGACTCGTAACGCTACAGCAAATCTTGTTCCATTCTAACACCTATGCTATTTGATCAGAGGCGTAACATGTTGGAAATAAAACAATGCACTTTTATTTATTTTATTAGTACTTTATTAATATTTTTAGGTATAAAGCAAGTTCAAAGCGTAAAAGTTAAAATAAATGAGAAACAATAAATAAGACATAATAAAAATATATATATATATATACAGGGTGGGCCACGATCAATAGGACGCAGCCTGGTGGGAAAACTACAAATGATATTAAAAATTCCTCTGGCACAAATATGCAACTCAACGGCGGCTACAAAATAAGATTAGTTTTTTTTATACAGGATGTTCCAATCAGAATAACAATATAAAGTTATATTTTTTTAAATGGTACATCCTATATTTTCTTTTAATTTTAAGTTCAACTCTAAAAAATAATCTTAGTTTAATAAAGATTCCCTATACCTATCTTTAATAATTTCCGATTTATTTGACGTTTTTGAAAATTTAGTGCTGTCGATATTAATTAATTAATTAACAAATTTTTGACAGGTCCTTACAAAATGCAACTTTCTATCAGAATCATTAAAATATTAAAATAACTGAGATGTCAAAAACGCACCATTTTGGTTTCTTTCGCAATTAAATCAGAAACCAAAAACAATTAAATGATAAATGAATGTAATAGCAGTTCTGAAGTGGTAATAGAATCCTAAAAAAACATGCATACAGTGTATATCAATAAGATTATTTATTTAACTCTTGTCTTGTCTATTTGAGTCTTTTATACTAAAGGGTATTTCAATAAGAACGCAAGATTTGAAGGTTTAATAAAATGTTTATTTTGTAACAAAAGATTCAAATATATATTATAATATAAACATTTGGGAATTATATAAGGAACTACACATCTTTATTTGCACATGTGTGCTTTTTTTGTGAAATTTTCAATAACCTTATAGCATATATGGCGATATTTTATTGATACAGTGTCTAAATTCGTCTTTCAATGCTTCGGTGTTTACGGGCTTGTTGGCATGAACCTGTGACTTTAGATAACCCAACAGCCAAAAATTTAAAAAGTCCAAACGTGCCAATCGGGAGATCACAGGAACTGAAAAAGACTCGTGCAAGATAGTGAATATTTCAGAGGCTATATGGTAAGTGCCACAGAAGACTCCTAGGAACGGTAACTTCAGTGATGGGGTCCCGTGGATTACAGTTTAAGAAACAATTTTAAAACTTACCAATAATAGCATATTTTGTCTTCAAATGTTTAGTTTAAGCCAGAAGAAGTAACTAATTACTTCGATCAACATATTTCTTTCACTTGATATTTCTTTTAAATTATTTTGAAGACAAAGGTGTAACCAAATTACTATTCGATTTATAAAGTAATTTGAAGGCAGTCCATCCGGTACACATTCAAGGAAATAACACAAATTTATAATAACTAAATCCATTAAACAAATTGAAATCTCAAATAAATGCAACCAAATTTAACAATATCAATAGATTCACAATTATTAGCAAGTTTCCGCCATGACACAAAAATCGATATTTATTTGTCATTACCATAGATAAATTAATATGTAAGTAAATTTATTTATGGTCATTACACTTACACCACCCACCCCACCACACGATTGCAGCGCCAAGTGGACGTGGTTGATTTTTTCGCTACCCCAGTCTTGCGCATATGAGTTTCCCCCCTCTGGTAAGTGCCACTGTCCTGCTGAAACCATATTTACGAACTCTCATCTATCTTTTATCGGCCTGGCATGCCACATTCATGTGATATCATGACAGCCAATCTAGCGCGCAATTCAAATCTTACGCTGTTATTGAAACATACTTTATTAGATATTCTGCTACAATTTTTGATGATTTTCTCTTGATATCTATGTCTTTCACTTTTGTTTTACCTGCTAATACCAACAAAACATTTATTTTAGAAAACGAAGATCAATTTTAGATTACATCATAGCTCAATACCATGATAACCAGCGAGCTCATGATGAGAACTACTCCCTGAACCATCCATACTTACCTGAAAATGTTCAAGAAGACTACATGGAGACTCAAACGCGACCAAGCTTTCCTTCAAACCATCCATACGCATCTTTATATCATCAAGGAGACGACTTTCTGGTGACTCCAAACCGACCAAGCTTTCCTTTAAACCACCCATACACATCTTCAAATCTGGCTACTCAAACGCTATCATACTTTTCTACAGACTATCAATACTTACCTCTTTCACAAGACAGCTACAATCTAGCGATTGAAACTAGACCAAACTTAGATTTTCCAGAAGGCTACAAGCCTGTTCACACGCGTCCAAGCTTTATTGTTGATGGCAAATATAAGGATTATAGCGTAGACTTCACGAAGTATGATGCGATTTTGCCATATTTATATATACCACATCTCAAAGCGGGAGCTGTTAGTTTCCCTCTTGATAGCGAGATGTATTACTTACTTTTGCTGCTACCTGACAGTATGAATGGAGTGGATAAATTGATATGCGATTTAAGATTGGATGGTAATTTGAAGAGTATCGTAAATGGATTGAGAAATCGGCGTGTGACTGCGACTATGCCTAATTTTAAGCTGAACGGATATGTTAATTTAACGCCGAGTTTACAAAAGGTAAGTCACTGTTATCATAAATTATGAATCATTATCTAGCATTTATTCAGTTTATTTGTTCTCGAGGATTACGTTATTTATAATATACTGGATTTTCCACACCTTTTTTATCTTTCTTAAATATGTCTACCTCCTATTTACAACGATTTACTGCAATTATGTGTTCTTTTATTGTAGAGGTAGATGATATTGTTCGATGTTTCTACCTTCTTTCTACCCTACAAGTATTCTGTTTATATTTATAACAAACTAGTAATAACTATAACTATTTCGGCCCTTTCGTAATGTTCCTGTAATATTCTAAGCATACAGTGTGATGTAAATATATACAGGGTGTATCTAAATAACACCGAAAAAATTAAAGGGGTGATTCTGTGATGAAAATTAATGTGAGTGTTTGGTATAAATTTTTTTGAAAAAACCCTCCCCCGAAAAGTTACACCCCTTCGAAAATTAAAAAAAAATGGATTTTTCTTTTTTATTTTCCCTGTATATCAAGCTAAAGACACGAAACTTGGTAAACATTATCTGTCAATAAAAGTACACTTTTTGAAATTTTTTCAACCCTGAAGTATGCTTAGAAGGGGTTTAAATAATCAACCCCTAAGATATTTTTTCTTACAACTTTTTTTTAGATAAAAATTTTTTCTTTAAAAAAGTATGACTGAAAAGCCCAATTCATTGACTAACTTTTTTATCTCTACAAGTTTTTTTCGAAAACTTAAGCATTTATGAGAAAAAAATAAATAAGCTCATGTAAAATAGCATTTTATTAAACAACAGCCAACCAAATTATGATTCTTAAGACTTCTACAACTAAAAACAAAAGTGAACAAACAATGAACAAAAACCTGTCGAATATCGACAATACAATTATAATAAATGTTGAAAATGACCGCCTTCAGCTTCAATACAAGCATCTGCCCTTTTTCTCATAGAATTGCGTATACGATGAAATATTCCTGGAGAATTTCTTATAGTTTCACACCCTGCTACAATGCGGTTTCGCAGATCATCGATATTTTCAACCGGGTTTGTGTATATCAAAGATTTCAGATATCCCCATATACAAAAATCCAAAGGATTAAGGTCAGGGGAGCGGGCTGGCCAGTTTACAGGTCCTCCTCGACCTATCCATTGATTGGCATACACCTCATCCAGGTGAGTTCTTGCACGTATACTAAAATGAGCTGGTGCACCATCGTGCATAAACCATAAATGTTGCCTAATTTGAATGGGAACAGGTAATTCTTCAAGGAGATGACAATATGCTTCACCATTTAATCGTAGCGGAAGAAAATGGGTACCAATTAAATGATTATCAATAATTCCGAGCCACACGTTTAATGAAAATTGATACTGATGATTTCTTTCAAAAAAGCCATGAGAATTTTCGTCAGCCCAAAGGTGATTGTTGTGAAAATTTCTAATACAGTCTCTTGAGAAACTCGCCTCGTCAGTACATAAAATATTACCTAAGAACTGTGGTGCTTGGCCAATCATATTAATAAGCCACTGACAAAAAATCACACGGGGTAAAAAATCTCGAATCATTAACGCCTGCACCCGTTGAAGATGATAGGGATACAACATTTGTTCTTTTAAAATTCTAAAAACAACGGAATGGCTTACATGTAGGACACGAGCTATTCTCCTGGTACTAGTTTCTGGGAATTCTTCAATTGAATTAAGTACGGCTTCTTCTACAGCTGCAGTTCTAACTTCTCTAGTACGACCAGAATCATAACTTCTTTTTTCAAAATTACCACGTTCCCGCAAGCGTCGGTGAATAGTTGTGAACGTAGTATGATGGGGTAGTCTACGTTGTGGGTACTGTTCAGCATAAAGTCTTTGCGCTTCCAATGAATTACCGTTAGCACGACCGTATGTAAAATGCATATCTGCCATTTCCAAATTCGAATATGCATTCATATTTTCAATCAACTAATATTTCCTACAATACACAATCATAAAACTTGTGAAACAATAAGATGGGTAACAGAAAATGACACTACACAATCCTGGTATCAGTATTAATGTTTTTATGCAAAGCACAGGCCATTAGACTTGACGCAAAATACACTCGCGTTAGCTCATCTTTTTGAAAATGCATTGCATTAGATTTTTTTTCTCATAAATGCTCAAGTTTTAGAAAAAACTTGTAGAGTTAAAAAAGTTAGTCAATGAATTGGGCTTTTCAGTCATACTTTTTTAAAGAAAAAATTTTCATCTAAAAAAAAGTTGTAAGAAAAAATATCTTAGGGGTTGATTATTTCAACCCCTTCTAAGCATACTTCAGGGTTGAAAAAATTTCAGAAAGTGTACTTTTATTGACAGATAATGTTTACCAAGTTTCGTGTCTTTAGCTTGATATACAGGGAAAATAAAAAAGAAAAATACATTTTTTTTTTATTTTCGAAGGGGTGTAACTTTTCCGGGGAGGGTTTTTTCAAAAAATTTTATACCAAACACTCACATTAATTTTCATCACAGAATCACCCCTTCAATTTTTTCGGTGTTATTTAGATACACCCTGTATAGTAAACGACTTTTTAACAAAGCAATCTTAAAACACATTAATTAAAATTTTTGACCCAAAGAAGTTGCGAATATGTCATGTTTGAGAACAGTAACAAAGCTCCGCTATCCCAATAATTCACTGCATATGCATAACTCATCCAATCAATTACTATATGAAACAATTAAAATTATTCCTATTCGACAAAGGATGAATTAAACTGGAAAGTAACTAACAGAACTGCTGAACCAGATAATTATATATAGAACACCAACATCGCTTCAAAAAGAAACTACTTACCCTAAACAACCACTGTGGAATAAAATATTGGATTAATTTAAAATGGGTGTTCACTTTTTCCAATAATTTTATGATTTGGAAGTTCGGTTCAAAACTTTGTGCAAGTGTAGTTATTATTATCAATATCATACTGTTTTCAAGCACTACAACTATTAATGAATGAATAAATGAATATTGTAGTTATTGTAATATTTGTTTTGTTTTTAATACGTTGAAAATCGTCTATAAACATTATTAATTAGTCAACTGACTTTTCTTCATGTTCTGAGATTATTTTTAAATATACACCGTGTCCCACGTAAGGCGGGCATTACAACTTTATGGAGAATAAATTAATTTATATTTTCGCCATTTTCTGAGTATACATAATCGAATATGCTCTTTTGAATTAAAATAAAATGAACTCTGTGCAACTTCCGGTCATACCGGAAGTGACCACTAACTTCGTTATTTTAAAGGGAATACCCCATTTTTTTTTAATTTTAGATTCAGCATGAAATTCTGTAAACAATGGTACCATATTTGCCTATTCTAATTATAGCGGAATTGGCGTTATTCATTTTTTTTTAATTTTTAGTCGTCGCGCCGGTAGGCATTTTCTTAAAGTCGACTGTCTCAGGTACTTGAAATTTTAGCCAGAAGTAGTAGATGGGATGTACTTTTAAAAACATTTACAGTTTTCTGCAACAAAATATGTCGTTTAAAAAGTTTAAATTTTTTTAATGATAAGGTATATACTAACTAAAAACAATTTTTATTAAAAGCACATGGTTTAAAAAAATCATTTTATCAAATGTTCAAAATGCCCCCCGTTAGCTTCTAAACATTTTAACAATCTTTTTTCAACATGATTAGTTGTTGCTTTACGAATCATTTTACCATCTAACTCGTTAAAGGCATTCCGAACTCTTTGCTCTAATTCTTTTTTAGTATTAATTTGGGTAGAGTACACTAAATTTTTAATATGACCCCATAAAAAAAATCAACAGGAGTTAGATCTGGCGATCTTGCAGGCCAAAGCCAAGGACCATTTGGACCTATCCATCGGTCTTCAAAGAGTGCTGTAATTTCTTGATTTACATAGTATGTTGAAAGTGCTGGGGCACCATCCAACTGGTACCAAAAATTATTATTTGGTAGCTGGTTTAAAATGTCGGCAACTACTTCCCTAAGAATTCTAATGTATCTTTCTGAGGTCAGTCTTTCATTATAAATATAATAAAAAGCTCTTCCAAAACCGATCACTGCAAACACATTAAAACTTAATTTGTACTGAAATTGTGCTTCACGATAAAAATGTGGATTTTCGTTTGCCCAGAAATGACATTGCTTGCGATTGATGATCCCTTTACGTGTAAATTTCGACTCGTCTGACCACAAAATTTTGTTTAAAATCTCGGGATCTTCTTGAATTCGTACCAATAACCATTCGCATAATTCAGTTCGTCTTATTTGATCACCATCTCGCAACTCATGAACTTTTCTTTGTGCATAGGGATGCTATTTATTTAGTGCTAAAATTCGTTGTATTGACCCTCGACTAATATTTAAATTATCTTGAGCCATTCTAATGGAGGCGTGAGAATACGCAGTAAAATACCCTAATACGTTAATTAGATTAACTTCTTCATCTCGGACATAATGTTGACGGTTTCTTCCCGGGTTTTGTTTAAAATTATTCAAAAAGTTAGCTTCGATTCTATCAAATTTCTGTCTGTTCATTGGTGGTAAATGAGGGTATCGTTCATTAAACATGCGGCAGGTTCTACTTTTGATTCGATTACATTCTCCATGAATGTAAAATAAATTAAGAATATCTTGGTTGGTATATTCTTCAATATTTTCCATATTTTCCATATTTTGAACGCAAAAAATACACAACTTAAATACATAGAAATATGACAATTCAGTTTGTTGACAGATTGTTGTTTAGCATATTTCCACGGCATACTAAGATAAAAAATTAAAATGTAAAATTATACTATATTATGTGCATGCGTAAAATTTAAATTTAAATTTTCTTAAAATTGGCGAGAGATAATTATAGGGAATTAATAGTGCAAATGAAGATCAATGAAGAATAATTTTCTGAACAAAATGAAATAAAAATATACAGGATTTTCCATTTAAAATAAAAAAAATTTTCATGTTTAAAATATTTATTTTTTAAAATAATTTCCAA